GGAACATATAAATATTGCAATACTTGGGGTGGGTGGACTAAAGTGGACAGGAATTGGACATTTTGAGTCAGATAATTACATAGTGTTTTACTCATGAACTGAAAATCTAATAAGAAATGGGATGGCATTAATAGTGAGGAGAGATGTAGCAAAAGCAGTCAAAGGATATAATGCAAAATCTGATGGAATCATATCAATAAAACCTATGGGGAAACACATCAATCCAATTGTAATCCATATTTATACTCCAACTATAGAGGCAAAAGAAGAAGAAACTGAAAGATTCTATGCTAGACTCTGGAAGGAAATTGATCGCACACAAAACAGGACTTCTTGTTAATCATAGATTACTGAAATGCAAAGTAGGAAACAGAGCCAAATCAAAGGTTCTAGGAAAATTTGTCCTAGGATCAAGAAAGGAAGCAGAAATTGGACTGATTCAATTTTGTGAGGCCAGTAGTTTCTTCGTTGCAAACACATTCTTCAAGCAACCAAAGAGGCAACTATACAGTATATGTCCATCACTTGATGGCCAATAAAGAAATCAAATGATTTGCACTATCAAGGTTAAGTGACCAGGAGCTAGAAGAACACTGGACTGAAGCTAGGGACATTGTCAGGGAAGAATGCAAAAATGCACACTCTGCTGTAAAAAAAGAAAGAGAAGCCGTAATGGAAGACAGATGAAACTGCAAGCCATTAAGAACAGATGAGAAGCAAAAGTAAAAGGTGATAAATAGAGTCACAACCTTGAATGCTACCATTCACCAACTTGTGTGCAGGGATAAGAAGAACTATTATAATAATAATGCAGAGAAATAGAAGATGACAACAAAAAAGGAAGAAAAATAGACCTCTTCTACAAGATCTGAGAAATCAAAGGGAGATTTAAACCAAGTATGGGGATGCTTTATGACCAGTAAGAGAAGAAATTACATGAACAAGTCAAAATAAAATGATGATGGAAATAATACATTGATGTCCAAGGAAAGAAGCGCTTGAAATGAACCTGCAATTTTAGAAAGTAAAGTGGAAGCTGCACTCAGAGTTCTTGGGAGAAATAAGTCTCAAGGAATAGATGACATACCAATAGAGCTGTTTCAAGCAACACAAGACAGAACTTATTCTAGTTTTAGCTAAAAATCTGTCAAGAAATATGGGAAACAAAATAATGGCCCACAGATTGGAAACACTCAATATGTCTTCCAGTTCCCAAGAAAGGAGACAGCAGGGACCACAATAATTACAGAACCATTGTATTAATTCCCCATGTAAGCAAAGTGATGATCAAAATTCTACAATAAAGACTTTTACCGTATATGGAGCAAAAAATGCCAAATGTCCAACCTGGAGATGGAAGAGAAAGAGGCACTAGGGACCATATTAAAAACATACGCTGGATAATGAAGCACACCAAATAATTTCAGAAGAAAATCTGCCTGTGCTTTATAGATCATAGCAAAACCTTTGATTGTGCAGATCATGCAAATTATGGATCATCCTTTTAAAAATGGGTGCGCCAGAACATTTGCTTGTCCTGATGTATAACCAGTAATCAGAACAAGAGGCTACCATCAGGACAGAATACGGAGAAACAGGGTGGTTTCCAACTGGTAAGGGGATCAGGCAAGACTGCATTTTATCAGTCTATCTGTTTAATGTATACACTGAATGTATCATATCCAAGCAGAATTAAGAAGAAGAAGGTGTGAAAATTAGTGGAAAGAATATCAACAACTTAAAACTGCAGATTACATCATACTAGTAGCAGAAAAGTAGCAAAGACTTGGAATGATTACAAGAAAGTCAAGGAAAGAAGTGCAAAGGTAGGAATTAAGAAAACAAAAATAATGACTACAGATGATTTCTATAACTCTAGACATTGAAGACATTGAAATAGTTCAAGATTTATTCATACTTTGTCTCAGTCATTAATCAGAATGGAGACTGCAGTCAAGAAATCAGAAGAAGACAAGGACTTAGAAGGGCAGCTAGGAAACAACTAGACAAAATCCTCAATTGTAAAGATCAGTAATTAAGGGTTATCCTTTCTATCATATATTTTCAGTTTCTACATATGGTTCTGAAAGCTGAACAGTAAAGTAAGCTGATAGGAAGAAAATTAACTCATTTGAAATGTGGTGCCGGAGAAGAGTTCTACAGATACTGTGGACTGCTAAAAACACACATAAAAATAAATGGGTCCTAAAGCAAAACAAGCCTGAACTCTCCCTAGAAGCCAAGGTGACTAAATTGAGACTGTCATACTTTACTTTGGACATAATATGAGAAGACATGATTCCTTAGAAAAGACAATAATCTTTGGAAAGATCAAAAGCAGTAGGAAAAGAGGAAGACCACATTTCAGATTTGTTGCTGTTAACTGCCCTCAAGTTGATCTCGACTAATGGTGACCCTATGGATGAGCCATCTCCAAGACCCTCTGTCCTCCACTGCTCTGCTTAATTCCTGCAACCCCTTAATACCCGTGACCTCCTTAATGGAGTCCATTCATCTGGCAAGCGGCCTTCCTCTCTTCCTACTTCCCTCCTTCCACCTTTCCCAGAATTTTTGTTTTTTTCCAAAGAGTTCTCTCTTCTCATGATGTGTCCCAAGTACGACAGCCTCAGTTTGGTTATCTTGGCTTCCAGGGAGTTTTCTGACTTGATCTGCTCTAGGACTCACTTGTTTGTCCTTTTGGCTGTCCATGGGATCCTTCTCCAGCACCACATTATCTCAAGTGAATTGATTTTCTTCCTACCATCTTTCTTACTGTCCAGCTCTCATATCCATACATAGTAATAGGGAATACAATGGGTTCTTTGATTCTAACGTTTGTTGTGAGTTGTTTATCTTTGCATTTTAGAGTCTTTTCTAGTTCTTTTATGACTACCCTCCCCATTCTTAGCCTTCTGATTTCCTGACTGCAGTCCCCCTTTCTATCAAAGTTTGTTCTCAGGTATGAGAATTCTTTTACTATTTCCATTTGTTCATTGTTTAGGTTGAACTTGTGAAGGTCCTTGGTGGTCATTATTTTTGTTTTTTTAATGTTCAACATTAAGCCTGTCTTAGCACTTTCTTCTTTGATCTTCCTTAGTAGGTGTTCCAGGTCTGTGAGGTTTTCTGCTAGTATTATGGTGTCATCTGCATATCTTAGATTGCTGATATTCCTTCCTCCTATTTTCACTCCTTCTTCTTCTGTGTCCAAGCCTGCTTTTCTTGTGATATGTTCTGCATACAAGTTGAACAGAAAGGGTGAAAGGATGCAGGCTTGTCTGACTCCATTGCCAATTGGGAACCATTCTGGGCCTTTACAGACTGCCAGAAATAGTGCAAATTGAGTCCACTTTAATTGCCCTGGCTCAGTGCTAGGGAATCATGGGAATTGTATTTTTTTTCTGAGACATTGACCCTTCTCTGTCAGAGAGCTCTGGTGCCACAATAAACTACAGTTCCCATGATTCCCTAGCACTGAGTCAAGGCAGTTAAAGTGGACTCATTTGCACTATTTTTGGCAGTCTGCAAAGGCCCTCTGTTTCTCTGTATTCTGTCTAACTGTAGCCTCTTGTCCTAAGTACAAATTCCTCATCAGGACTATGAGATGTATTGGCATTCCCATGTCTTTAAGGGCATTCCATAGTCTTTCATGATGCAGTCAAAGGCTTTGCTATAGTCTATAAAGCACATGCTGATTTTCTTTTGGGATTCCCTGATGAGATCCATTAGCCATCGTACATTTGCAATGTGGTCCCTTGTGCCTCTTCCTTTCCTGAACCCTGCTTAGACTTCTGGGATTTCTCTTTCCAGGTGTGGTTGGAGTCTATGTTGCAGAATTTTGAGCATGATTTTGCTTGCATGGGAGATAAGTGCTATGGTTCTATAGTTGCTGCAGTCTCTTGTATCTCCTCAATCAAAGAAGCCACAGCCCTGAACCTGCAAGACCTGAGCAAGGTCATCGATAGGGTGACTTGGAGGTCTCTCATTGATAGGTGAGCTGACTTTATGGCAGGTAACAAAAAAATTTAGTAAGTCAGAATGCTACAATTCTGGTTGCAAATGTTGAAGGCTAAGCTACACACAGCAGTGGTGCACATGAACATTTAATGTGCCCGATTTTTTTGTTCTTTAAAAAGCCCGTTTGGTAGTCCCACACAAACAGTTAATGTCACCCACCCTCCATGTCAGCATTGCAAATATGTTGACCCCTGCTGTTTGCTTCCTGGCTAACAGTTCACTGGAGAGGAAGAGCAATTTTGTGTGCATGTGTGTAGAAGAGAAAGGTTAAAGCTTCCTTCTGTATGCTGTACCTGATTGTAATGCCCCCCACTATAGTTGTCATTTGAAGAGCAAAATGTATTTATTCTCATGTCTAGTTTGGCCCTGAGATAACTGTACTGAAGATGAGCTCTTGATTTGCTGTGTTGGTGGATATACCGCATTTTGATTAATGCTGATTTGAAAAGGCATGCTGGCTTTTGCAGGGAGGGGGGGCCAAGGAGAAACAGTACTGTGATATACCACCTTTTTCAGCAAACGAACAGCTCTGTCAAGTATAAAATTGATGCATTACTGCTGTAACTAGTGGAGACCATTTGACAGGAACAGAATCCCTTTAATGCTAACATATCATTATAGTATGTGTTTTAAAGACCTTTTCTATTTTCAACAGTTTGTAGTATGTTCTGGCCTTGTTTTAGCAACTCTGCTTGATCCAAAACTTGGACATCAGCCTTGGGTTTGATTTGTGACTATAAGAGAAGTAACCTGTACCAGATACGTAAGATTTATTTTGTTCTTAGTCTTAGTGGGAGGTGCAATGGCAATTAGTTGTACATGTAAAGTATGTTGTTGTTTTGTGCCTTCAAGTCATTTCCAATTTATGGTGACCCTAAGAAGGATCTATCATGGGGTTTTCTCAGCAAGACTTGTTCAGGGGTCTGCCATGGCTTTCCTGAGACTGAGAGATAATGACTTGCCCAAGGTCACCAAGTTGGTTCCCATGGCTAAACAGGGATTTGAACCCTGGTCTCCCAGTGTCCTAGTCCCACGCTCAAACCCCTAAGCCACGCTGTCTCTCCATAAATTATATAGTTTAAGATTAATCATTGCAAAATAATTTTAAAAATTAGATTGGCTTGTGAAGTGATACATCAACGTGATTTCTTTTTGTTCAGTTGGTCCTCGCAATCCATCGATTCTTTGTCCACATATTTAACCATCCACAGCTTGAAAATATTTTAAAACTATATACATGCCAAAAAAGCAAACTTTGATTTTGCCATTTTACATGGGGGACACCATTTTATTACGCCTTTGTTTTTAATGAGACGAGCATCAGTGGATTTTGGTATCCATGGGGGGTGCTGGAACCAAGGGCCCATGTCTGTTCTTTAAAAGCAACAGAACTGATAAGGCTGCCATCTAGAGCATATTTATTTGGTGTGTAGTCTCACTGAACACCTGAGATAACACAAATAGCCAAAGCATGTTATTAAAAACCATTGATGTCTCAAGCATCCTAACCTTGGAGTTGCATCATACATTGTGGTGACAAATGTATTATTTGCTACAATGTCTAGGCATGGAATGTAGAATACAAACATATGAAAATGTACTTTGTCACATACTTGCTTTATTTTATCCTTTAAAAAACGCACCATACAGTGCATTTTAGAGACACATGTTGGCTGTTTGTAAGATATCTGAATATGCTCCAGGTCAGGCATTCCCAAACTTTGGTCATGCAAGAGACCCTACCAGTTGTCCTTAGGAATTTGTAAGTAGTGCACAAAGGTGATGCCATTTCTGTGGTACTTGGTGTAGAGAGGTATACTAGCTTTGCTATCATGCTGGGCAGTCATTGCTAGACATTTTCATACAGAATGGATCTAATTCTATGTTAAAGAAACATCACTCTGCATAATGTAGTAGGCTCACTGGATGACCTTGAGTTCTAGGACAGAGAGACACCCCTTCATAAGTTTATAAGCATCCTTCATGTTCCCTGCTTAAATAATTTTCTCATAAACTGTATCCGCACTGCGGAAATAATCTGGTTTGATGTTACTTTAACTTCCATGGCTCAATGCTGTGGAATTCTGGGAACTGTAGTTTGTTGTGGCACCGGAGCTTTCTTACAGAAGGCTAAATGTCTCACAAAACAAGTTCCCAGAATTCCATAGCACTGAGCCATGGCAGTTAAAGTTGTGTCAAACTTGATTATTTCCTTTAGACTGGAGGAATTCAATCCTTTGATCATTTTTGCTGCCTTTTATAGTCAGCCCTTCTGCAGAGGATTAGCATTTCAGGTTAAACCCCCTCCCCAACCATCTTTATATGTGGACATTATGACAGATGCTGTTGGTTTGTTTGTTTTTAGCAGACTCTGTTCCAATAATTCCCACACCTGAATTTGCCTTTTTTATTGTACAGGTATACAGATTTGACTTTCTGAAGAATTTCCAAAGGGATAACGCAGTCAGTCTGTTAGAAAAACAACAAAGAGCTCCTGTGTCTAAGGCTTAGAGATGAACAAATTCATGATGGCAGAGCTTTTGTTAAGAATGCATTTCATCAGATGCATGACAAGTTATGCTATATTGGTATCTACTTATATACAGCAGGGATGGTGTGACCCTCTTGGACTGCAATTCCCATGGTGGGCTTGTGGTGATGGTAACACCTGGAGGATCACATTCCCTGCCTCTAGTGTACATGAGGATTATTAAAAGGTCAGAGGGCAATGCCATGCCAGCATACTTACTACCCATATTGTGTCTTTCTTTCTTAGTCCCAGCAAAAGGTCTTTGCAGGCATTCATGTGCACTCAAATAATTTTAAATCTACATTATTTTTTATTGATTGCACCATTTTGACATGGGAGGAACATTTTTGGGAAATCAGGAAGGATTGTGCCAGAGTAACCAGTGCAGGGTGACCAGAAGTCTTCCTTTCCCAGGACATGTCCTACATTTTAACCTGCTGTCCAGGAAGAGTTCCCCATGTGTCCTCCATTTTGAACATGGCTGAGCAGCATGAATTTATGTGTTTTCACCTTTTAGTTGGTAGCATCCTCCATCTTTTCTTGAATGTCCTACATTTTGTGGTGCCTTTTCCTTCTCTGTGGTTAGGGAGGACATCTGGTCAGCCTAGCAGGAATTCTCAAATGTCCTCCATTTGGAATATGGCTAAGAAGCAGGAATTTATACTTGTTAACTGTGCTTGAGTTGATCTTGAATCATGGATGAGACATCTCCAAGACCCTCTGTCCTCCACTGCTCTGCTTAATTCCTGTAAACCCATATCTGTGACCCCTTTAATACAGTCCATCCTCTTTCTACTTCCCTCCACCTTCCCCAGCATTAGTGTTTTCCAAAGAATCCTCTCTTCTCATGATGTGTCCAAAGTATGACAGCCTTAGTTTGGTCATCTTGGCTTCCAGGGAGGTTTCCAGCTTGATCTGCTCTAGGACCAATTTGTTTGTCCTTTTGGCTGTCCATGGTATCCTCAGCACTCTTCTCCAGCAGCACATTATCTCAAATGAATTGGTTTTCTTCCTATCTTCTTTCTTAACCATCCAGCTCTCACATTCCATACATGGTAATAGGGATGGTAACAATGGCTTATAAAATAATAGTAATAATAATAATAATAATAATAATAATAAATTTTTATTTATACCTTTATATATACTTTTACACACACACACACACACATATAGACACACACACAAACTATATATATATACACACACACACACATATAATACTTATATGCATATTTTCACCTTTTTATTTGGGAGTGCCCTCCATTTTTTGCTTGGGCGTCCTCCATTTCGCAGTGCCTTCTCCTCCTCTGCGGTTAGGACACCTGCTGAACCAGCAATTGATGAGCCCCATCCCCTGAATATAATAATAATAATAATAATAATAATAATAATAATAATAATAATAATAATAATAATAATAATAATAATAATAATAATAAATGCTACACCCTCTCAGTTTGCTTACTGGGCTCTCTCGTTTGCGTGGGGGCACCGCATCTCCAATGCTGCCAATTCCAGGGCCCGGTTACAGCAGTTGCCATGGCTGCTTCTTCCTAAAAACACCCCCTCTCCTCTTCTCTTCCTTCCCAGGTTTCCATGCTCGGGCCCCTCCAACGCTGCTGCTTGCTGCTTGCTGCTTGCACAGGCTTTGCTCCAGCGGCGCCTGGTCACGCGCGCCTCAGCTGGGCCCCGGGCAAGGCGCGTGCCTGTGCGCGC